ATATCTTCTAGTTTTGTCAAAATTTAATATTTATTTTGGATTAATTGTAGTGAAAATCATGAACATTTTTGTAAATTATAGATTAAAAGAAACTTTTTTAAGTTGATATTATTAATACATGATTTTTTTTTAAACAATTCTAGATTAAACGAAATCCTAGTTCCCAACACGACTCTTCGCAACCATCAATTGCGCGGCCAAAACCACGCCGTTGATGCACGTCCCCTGCACGGCAAAAATTGTGCCACTGCACATGGTCGCCCTCGAAAGCCCAGCCACGGCGTTGGTGGCTGCCGACTGCGAAGTCTCGATCGTCGCACCGCCCACCCTGGCTCCCAAGCGCGTCGCCGTCGCCGTCGCCTTCAGTCGCGTCTCGAAGCTGCTGCAAATCGGCGAGTTGACCACATAGATGGTGTCCTCGTCGTCGTTATCGTCGGACAACGGATGTGGCGATCGCGCCTAGACTACGACCACTACGTCCACCGCGAAATTCCCGCGCACACCCGGTCCCCGGTGGCACGGTTCTGCAAATTCTAGACCACATTGTTAAGCGTCAAACCCAAATCCTCGATCCCATCGAAAGATTCGCAAACCAATCCGTGAAACTCACGTCCAACTGTTGAAAACAGTAGTCGATCTGTTGAAACTGGTCCTTGAAGGTTGCTCCACGTTGTTCGTTTGTGGCATCTTGTAATCCCGACAGCATCGCGAATCGTACTGACTGCTAATACCAAGTGATGTAGAGAAACATACGAGTGAGAAGGATAAACAAGATACTCTTTCAGTAAAACTCATAAAACTCAATAAATTCTTAATATCAATTCACCAAGTAATAATAAAGCAGATGAGTCATTTATATAAGGCTCTTAAAACTAAGAGCATCTCCAATGTTTTAATGTTGTTATAGAAATTTTTTTGACAAATGTCAGAAAATTAAATATATTGTGAACCATGTAGGACAAATGTTGAGTTCACAACTATTAAATTAAAAAATCATCTCTAATGCACAATATTGTCTAATAAAAATATTATCTACTTGTCAAATAATAAAATATTAATATGAATTAATAAAATTAAATAAATAATTAAATGGTTAATAATAATTCTCTCTCTTCTCCTCATTGGCTAATTAGAATGTGGAATAGAATGTGGATGAACCACATTCTTCTCTACATTGTGAACATTAATTATGTCCACATCATCACAACATTTGTGATCACATTGTACATTGGAGGAAAAAAATTGTGATATTAATAAATGTGTTGATGTGGAGTGTAATTTACCACTACAACATTGAACATTGGAGATGCTCTAAAAGATATCTCTGACTAAACAAGAAAATACCAAATAAATAAATATTTTCCTACCAACTAGACATAAGGAAATAAGGAAAATAATAATATTATCTTACCAACTAAAAACAAGGAAACAAAGAAATAATAATAAAAGACTATAAATAATAAAACTAATTATGGAGACGATCATATTTATCTAGAAATGCAGTCGCAGTCTCGTCTCCATCATATTATAATGTGGGACAACTCACACGTGATATTTTAATATTCAATAAATATATATATATATATATATATATATATATATATACATATTTATAAAGAGGTTAAAAGGAGAAAAAGAAAATAACTACCAATGACAATTTAAAATGTGTGGCTTAGGTTTTGGAATAGGGTTAATTGCATCTAAAATCATAACATTTTGTTCAATGGCAAATAAAACTCAACTTTTTCAAATTGGCAAAAAAACACCAAACCTTTAATAAGTATTGCAATTGTGTCTCAAAATCAATTTCAGACTGCCAATCACCTTCCGCCGCCGCACCGCCACCGGCCAACTTCGCCGGATGTTGAAATTTTTTATATGATCTTGTAGCTCTCCTCCGTGCCGACAATATATCAGAGTTTCACGAAAATATTCCGACAAGACTTCCAATTTTCTGGTCAAAGTTTGTAGATCTACAAATTTTCTCCGGCTTTCATTCGCAAATCCCGGTGACTCGCTTTGACCCATGTGAATCCGAAGGTACCCGCATTTAGTGACGTCCACGCCAAAATCGGTGATTTTTTCGGCAACGACTTTTCCGGTCATCTTCTTCGCAAATTTTCGGCCGACCCCCACGACGTTCTCTCCCCGACACCGACTTCCACGACGTTCTCTCTCCGGCGAGCTTCCCCCGCCGCGAGCTCGACTTCCAGCGACCTCCTTCACTAGGCTTCCCCTCTGTGCACAACCGTCCCGAGCTCGTTTTTCGGCGTGCCTTGGTCGGAAACTGATTTTGAGACTCAATTGCAATACTATTAAAGGTTGGTATTTTTTTGTCAAATTGAAAAAATTGAGTTTATTTGCAATTAAATAAAATGTTAGGATTTTAAATGCAATTAACCGTTTGGAATATAATATGGCATATTAGTATGATGTGATGTTAATATTCTGCATTAAGTAGTGAGAATGTTGTTATTCCAAGGCCAACAACAACCTATATATAAAAAGTTCTAATTCACTTTTAATGGACTTGTTATAATCACACACCATATTCTTATGCGATTCCCAAACAGAGTAAAAATTATTAAATAAATATATACATATAAAACTAGAAGTATTGTCTATAATCTAATTAAGAAAATATAAAAGTGAAATACAAAATTTAGAATCTCCTTTTTAAATATAATAAAGTTGTTGAATTGTATCATTTAATACCAATCTCTGCTCTCAATTATATATATAAATGTGTATTACAAGATACAAAAATTCTATGGAGCCATCAAATAGTTTTTGTGTGGAGTCATCCACTATTTATTGTGCTGACACTTGTCCAAATTGTATTTATTGTAGGACACGTGTCAATACACTGTTGGTGAATAAGTGTGGATGACTCAATAAATCGAGCCATTCCGATGACTCCATAGCAAAATTGTTACAAGATATATGTCAAATCACTACAAGTATTCAAGAAAATTAGTGTGCCATATCTTAATTAACATTATATATCATCACCACATAATTAAAAGCTCAATCAAAAACCATTCATTCAACCTCAAACTAGAAATTTAAAAAAACACCACACATACTAAAAAGTAACCCACCACCACAAAATTTTTCTAAACCCCCTAAAACCCCTCATATACACTGTCCCCAAAATGACCAAATTACCCCACATCACATGATGTAGCATCCATTAGGGTTCTCATCACTCAAAATCCGAAACGAATCCAACGGCTCACCATCTGTCAAATCATCATCCAGTTGCCCGTATGCCACACACGCGTACGGCGATGGAGGCGTGTAGTAGTAACCGGGAGCATCGCTTACAGTTGGGTGCACCGCACTATAGCTCACCACATACGCATTGTGAGGGGTATAATGGTACACATTGGGTGGAGGGCTTGGATCGACCGCGTCGACAGTTTGGGTGAACCCCACCTTTGGTGTATCAAATACGGTGCTCGCTGGTGCACCATTAGGCTGTGGACCAGCATTGGTAATACTTTTGTTTTTGTTCCCTTTTCGCCCTTTCTTTTTCTTCTTTTTACCGCCCTGCCCTCCACAGCTGCCGCTGACCGTTTGCTCTGGTGCCGAAAATTTATCAGTTAGTGACAGTCTCTTCTCCATGGTGGGAGGGTCTATGCCTATGAATTTAACCGTTGACCTGCAGTTGACTCCTGGGAAGCTGACTTTGACTTGAGGAGGGTTGTTGTCTAGTGGATTATTATTATTGTTGTTGTTATTATTATTGTTATTGTTGTTGTTGTTGTCGTCGTTATTACTTTCCTCAACTTCGTCCTCGCTGTTTTCGCAATCGTTTTCTTTGTCATTTTTTCCGGGCTTTTTTTCGCTGGAGAGTTTTTCGGGCCATAGCTCGGCATGCTTTCCGGTTTTGACAAGCTTTTTGATTAGGGTTTGTGGGTCGATGTTGCCGGTGACGATGACCTTTTGCTGCTGGGGATCGATATCCGTGGTGTAAACACCTTAAAGAAAAAAAAAAAAAAAA